TGAGTGACTTCAACTCGGATGGTTCAGGGGAGGTTTTGATATATTCAGTCTTACTTACATTGCAACAGAGACCTACCTGGTTCACTGCCCGCTTGAGTGACTGCAGCAAGGATTCTGCATCTTTAATACATTGAGAAATTAATGCAAGATCATCAGCAAATTCAAGGTCAGTAAGGTATTGTGGGGGGTACCGACTACTCTGGCAAGGTTTCAAAAGGAGTCCTTTTTCCTACTACCTACCCACTAATGCAGTAACTAAAATAAACAACTGAATACATGGGAAAAAGGTTTCATGTTTCTCATTATCTTGTGAATGTATAAATGGATCTTTCCCAGTTTTTTGTGCACGCCAATGCCAACGACAATAGACATGCAATGTGAAGTCATGGTTAGTGTTGTGTATGATACACCTAATTTACATAAGTGGAGTACCGACCATATAAATATGGGTTGGTACCGGAAGACGACGGAAGATTAAGAGATCGAATCCAGAGACTCTGCCCGACTGCGACTTAGTCAACCCATTCTGCAGGAACAGTCTTCCCAAGAATATACCAAAACTACCTGTAAATATTGTGTACCTTTTTTCATTGTTTCAATACATTTTGTTACGTACATTTTGTGTTGTATTATTATTATTCCATGCTTATTCAAGCTTCAACAATGGCGACGAGGTATAAAGAACTTTCGTTTCGGAAAAAAAAGAATTAATAATTGATAGCCTTCAATAATTGGGACAAGTGGAAGAACCCAGGCTGAAAAAAAAAAAATCATTAATTAAAAGTCGAACATCTAATGGAACGGAAAAGTATTCTGAAGTTTGGACAGTTAAAAACTAGTTAAAGGACGACTAAGCTTAAAGGAACGTTCACTCAGAAAAAACTGGAAGGTGGGCGTAAACAAATAACGGCGAAAAAAAAAAATGCTGGCCGACTAAAAAAAAAAAAAAAAAAAAAATGCTGGCCGATTAAAAAAAAAAAAAAATGCTGGCCGAAAAAAAAAAAAGCTGGCCGACTAAAAAAACATGCATGGAATTAAAAGGAGCACAAATACCATCGTGTCGACTTTGAAAGGTAACGAAACTTGTAAAAAAAAAAAAAAAATTTGTTTATTTTTTTTGTTTGGTTGCTCAACAATATTTTATAAAGCAAGACATAAAATTAAAAAAGGCGTAAGTTGTTTCAATTTTTTTTTTTTTCTGCTTATAGTATATTCGTGGATAAACAATTTAAAAAGTATATTCTTTGTTGCATGAACACTATCAGCTAAAAATGGAGGAATTATCCAAAAGTCATAGCTGAATTGTTTAAAGCCCAGCAGTTGAGTCAAGCTGAATTATTCAAATCCCAGCAGTTGAGTCTGCAACAACAAAGTGAACAGGTTGCCTTATTAAAGAGAACAACAATTAGCACAGCAGAATTATCAAGAAAGGCAAGAGGAGTTGAGTCAGCAACGTCAAAGGAACAGGAAGAAATGTATGTCAAGGTTTTGGAAATTCAAAAGTTAACATTGGAGAAATTAAACAACAATCAGGCAAATGAAAGTAACTCTTCATATTCTAATAACATCATATTTAATTCGTTAGAAACTTTCAACTATGTGCCAGACGAAGGAAAAAACGTTTGAAGCGTATTTAAACGATATGAAGATATTTTCCACACAGACTGTGAAAACTGGTTAATTCAAGAAAAGTCAGTCTATTACTAAGAAAGCTAGGTACAGCAGAACATAGCAAATTTGTAGATTTTATTCTACCGAGAAGAACAAATGAATTGGAATTCTCGGAAACAGTGAAATTGCTAAAGGAGTTGTTTGGAGCAAATATGTCGCTTTGGCATAAGCAATGGTTATGCATGAATGTCGCTAAATCCGACGATCAGGATTACTTAACTTATGCATCTATAGTGAATAGACATTGTGACAATTTCAGATTGGCAGAGATTACGGTTGAAGAATTCAAGTGTTTAATTTTGCTCAAGGTCTGGTATCCAGTAAAAGTGCCGAAATAAGACGTAGAGTTTTGTCTAAACTCGAATCTGAACAAAACCTTACCCTGCAAAAGTTAGCAGAGGAGTGTCAGCGGGCCGTAAGTTTAAAGAAAGAGTCTCAAAAAAAATTGAAGAAGCTGGTATTGCTTATATTAAAAAAAATAAGAAACAGTCAAATTACCCATCAGAAAAAATTGATTAAAAAAATTGGCGTATTTTAAAAATAGAAAAAAAAATAAAATGAAAAGAATGAGGAAGGAAAAAAAATGGTTCCGCCATTTAATTGTAGACGGTGCAACGAAAAGACATTGGGAGGTAAATTGCCCATATAGAAAAAAAAATGTTTCTGTGCCACAAGAATGGTCACAAAAGGATCGTTGTAAAACGAAAAAAAAGTCAATAGCCGAATTAGTCAAACAAATTCAAATATCAAATCAGATAGAGATTTGAGGAAATATGTGACAACTGAAATATTTAAAAAAGAATATCAAATTTCAACTCGATTCGGGTTCAGATTTAAAATAATGAACTATAAAACATGGAAAATTTTAAAAGGCCTACAATAATGAAGTCAACGAAACGCGTCTCAACAGTGACTGGAAAGGAAATTAAATTCGAAGGCGAGGTTGTACTTCCCATGAAATTGAACGATAGTTAAAAAAATAAAAGTTTTCATTCTGAAAAATGGAGAAAACTTGATGGGTACAGATTTTATTGAAACATTCGAATTGTGGATAAACTGTTAAACTCTTTCTGCAGAAAAGTAGAAAGTAATACGCAAAACAAGACAGGACATTAATGAGGAATTAAAAAAAGTTTCCGGAAACTTTCACACCTGGTCTTGGAAGATGTAACAAGTTTGAAGCCAAATTCGAATTAAAGGAAAATACTATGCCAATTTTTAAAAGAAACGTAATGTGCCTTTCGCAAGTGTAGAGAAAATTAACGAAGAACTTGATAGGTTGGAAAAAAAGGGAATTATTTCAAAAAGTAGAATCTAATTCATGGGCTGCGCTGATTGTGTGCAAAAAGAAATCAAACCAAGTCAGAGTCTGCGTTGATTTTTTCGACAGGGTTGAACTCGGTAATTATGGACTACCATTACCCGTTACCGAGTCCGGAGGAGATTTTTAACAAGCTAAATGGTGGAGTTATATTTTCAAAAATTGACTTATCAGATGCCTATCTCCAAATTCCCGTCGAAGAGGAATGTTCGGGTTACTAGGGATAAACACGCATAGAGGGTTATTCAAGTACAACAGGCTTCCTTTTGGTATTAAAGTGGCACCTGCCATTTTTCAACAAGCTATGGACGTCATGCTGAATGATTTAGACTTTATTTTGCATTTACTTAGACGACATCATAGTAAGGAGCGAATCGGTCGACGAACATCGAGAGCATCTCAATCAAGTATTTAAAAAAATTCATTATTTTTTTTAAAAGCAATGAGTTAACCATCTTGCTTCATGTTTCTTTTAAAGCTTTTATGGTCTTGTATAAATATGATGGTAGTTCAAAAAGTTCTAATCCTCACTTAGATAGAAGAGCAATAGCTGAACATTTTTGTTGTGGCAATGCACTACTACTAGAAAAACTAATTCAGATTTCTGTGCAGGTTAGAGGTGTGTGACAAATCTAAAATTGGACAAAACAGAGACCCAAGCAGTCATACAATATCCGCAAAAGAAAGGCAGTGACACCCTAAGAAATCCATGAGGACAGGGTACAGACACTTTCTATGCAACTGTTAAAAAGTGGACTGCGGAATTCAAGCAGGGCAGGGACAATGCAAAAGATGACTCTTTGTCAGGTCATCCAAAAACCTCAACCACTGATGAACAAGTTGATGCCATTCACCATATAGTTGTCTTAGTGTCAAGCAGATAGCTAAGACCATAGGCACTAGTTCTGGTTCAGCCATACTGTTTTAAGAGAGATCTTGGGGATGAGCAAGCTGTCTGCAAGATGGGTCCCAAGAATGCTGACAGTAGAGCAGAAGCTGAAAAGAGTTGACATTTCCAGGATACTTTTGACTTGCTTCCAGGCTGACCTGAGAACTTCCACTGCAGATAAGTAACACGTGATGAAAACTGGATTCACCACTTTGAACTTGAATCAAAGATTCAAAGCAAACAGTGGAAACACTCTGGTTCTCCACCGATGAATAGATTGTTCAAGCAGGCAGTGTCTGTTGGCAAGGTAATGGCTTCAGTTTATTCTGGATTCTAAAGGGATAATCATGATAGACTACACCTGAAAAAGGGAAAACCATTAATAGACAGTACTATGCATCAGAATTAAGACAAAATGCAGAGGTAAGCTGAGGGCAGGTGTGCTCTTGTTCCAGGATAACACACCCATTCACACTGTTCAGGTTGCAGCCAACTGTGGTTTTGAATTGCTACCCCCATCCCCCTTACTTACCAGACTTAACTCCACCTAACTTCTTGTTTCCTAAACTCAAATCCCACCTGTGTGGCCGTCATTTTGGAAACAATGATGCGATCACGTGTGCTGTGGAGGAGTTTTTAGAGGAGCAGGACACCACCTTCTTCCATGATGGAATTGCAATGCTTAAGCATCATTGGACGAAGTACATTGATGTCAAGGGGAGCTTTATTGAAAAATAGTAAAAAACCTTCTTTCTTCAACTCTTTCTGGATGATGCTTAGAACTTTTTGAATGACCCTTGTATGTTGGCTTGAGAAACAAATAACTCTTAAGGAGATATTTTGAAAAAAAATCTAGGCTGTATATTTATGTTTGGGCTATTTTCTACTAATACATTTTCAAGAACTTTTCATATTAGCAAGTTATTTTCTGTTTTAACAAGTACATGATTTTTCATATAGAAATAGTTTCAATCACAATTTCTGCATATAATGCATTAAATAAATTATTATACATATGTATGTATATATGTATGATGACAAGTATAAATTACTGAGAAAATAAAAAAAATCAAAAGATTGTTTCTTCAATCACTGCCAAATAAATAAAATTTTACTTACTTTGGAATGTGTAGATTTATGTGAAGAGGTGCTAGGAGCTGTATAAGAAACAAACGGTGATGATGCCCCTGCACATTCTACAGGGGTGGGTGGGACAGCAGTGGCAAAATTGGCCCAATCATCGTTGTTCTTTGTGCTGTCAGATGCTGATCCTCCAACAAAACTGACAGTGGAATGTGTATGAAAATCAGAAGCAGAGCCATCCCATGAAGGTGTGAATTCCTGCTTGGAATTGGCAGGTACTGTAGGAGCTGCAGGTGTTGGTAACTGGGGGGGTGTTGCAAAATCATCCCAGTCATCGTCGTCGTCGTCATCATCATCATCATCAACAGTGGCAGACACAGTGCTGCACGGAAATTCACAGAAATCACCAAGTTCATCTGTGCCATCTGGGAGGGTTTTACCTCCAAAACGAGTGAGGTTTTCAGATTTGGGTACAAAGTCCTCAGAAGGTAGATTTGTTCCTGTAGCAGTGAATCTACCAAAATCTCCAAATTCATCATCATCATCAGATTCCTGGTTCTCTTCGGTCGAGTATTTCAGCTCAACCGTTTTGACATGATCAGAGATAGAGTAACTTTCATCTAGGCTGTCATTACTGCGCAAATCACAGCCATCAGGACCCATGTCTTCATAGTCTGTTGAACTCTCGGCCAGGCTTTCATCCTGGCTTGGAAAATCAGCTTCAATCTTTCTATCATTTGATTGGTTTTCTCGGTTTGAGGAATCCCATTCACTAAAATCTGCATTAAAACCTAATGATGAGCCATGACTGACTTGGGCTGTTGTTTCAGCTAATGTATTTTTCTGCCTGCCCTTATCTGATGAGGAACTCTCCTGTGAGTGATCCCCAAAGTCAGTTTGAGAATGTAAGTTCCCAATAGTCACTGCCAGGGAAACAGATGACTCTTTTGTGGTTGTGGTGGTTGAAGAAATGGACGGGTTTAATGAGAATTGACAATTATTTGACAAATTGAAATCGTTAGAAGCACTGCTGAATGACGGAGCAGATGAAAAATCTGCCCAATCATCTGAATCATCAGTAGTTGTGTTTGGCTGTTGACTGCTAACCAACATATATGGGTCTGTGGTACCATCAGGGGCAGCAAGGTGGTCAGCCCCAATTTCAGCCGCTATATCTGGTGTATCAGGTCTTGCAGGAGGAGGAAAGTCCGGAGGTGGAGGTGATGATGGTGGAGAAGGGCTTGAGCCGTTGTCTGCACTCATTTGGTCCATTCTAGCAGAGAGGGTTGGGCTGATATGGGCACATGACTCATCCTCCTTGTCAGAAACACAAGAAAAGTCTGGAGGCAGGTCTGTAGCTAATCCTTCTGTACTGCCGTTAATGCTGTTGCTGGTTTTGTCTTTATCACAACCAGTTTTATCACCCAGCTTGACCACACTGACCTCCTCTTCCTCGTCCTCCTCCTCACAGTGGTCCGAAGTCAACTGACCGTTTGCCTTGTGACTAATTTCTCCGTTAAATGTTTCTTCAAGTTCAGAAGAGCTGCTTTTATCACCCGAATCTGGACTTTCATCCGACTTTGGAACAGGTGAGATATCAGTACTACAGTGACCAGAATCAGTCATTGAGTCCCGACCCCGACTGCTGCCAAGGTTGGACAAGTAGCCCAGTGTTTTTGTATCACAACTGATTTGTTCAAATTCAATATCATTGTCCTTGGAGAGTAAGCCTTCTTGGGGAGGTTTACCGTTGGTTAGATGTGTCTCCTCTTCAGGAAAGAATTTCAGGGTTTGCAAGACCGGTCGCTCACTTCCACTAGGTGGGATCTCCTTTACACTGATTCCTCGATCTAGGTTGTACTGATTAAAACCCTTGAAAACACCAAAGTCGACATTATCTTCAAGACAAAGTCCTCTGTCAGACGAGGGGCTCTTGATGTTGTGGTCAGTAACACTGGCAAAGTTACCAAAATCATCATCATCATCATCATTCCAGGTATCATCATCAAGGGGTGGCGGGGAGTCTGACACCATGGGAATGATGTGCGACATGGTAGGCTCCCTGCTACTCTACTGTCGTGTCAGTGACCTGAAAGAGATTTTTAAAAAGTAAATGAATAGAATGAGATGGAAACACAAAAAAATTATTAAAGATTAAACAAATGGAAGAAAACATTAGTAGTTAAAAGTAATAAGTAAAAGAACACATTAAAATATTAGGGAAAGGCAGACAGTTATGTAATTACCATATATATATATATATATATATATATATATATCACCATCACTGTTACAATAAGTTTGTCTTTGTAATTCACCCCTGAGGATGATCTTGGAGGAGATCGAAAGTACTTGGGTAGGAAAAAACTATGGCACCTTCCTTGATGAATTTCATCTTAACATCAAGAAACTGATTAGAGTACTAGAAAGGATTATTATAAAAATAGACATGTCTATATTATTCAATGAAACCTGTTTGAATGAAGATATACTACATATACGTGTGTCTATGTGTGCGTATGTATAATTAGGCAGCAATTGTTCTTTAAAAGGCTGACTAATTTTATTACTTTTTTTTTTTTACTTTGTGGTTATTTAAAGCCAAAACATTTTGGATTATAAGAATATTCTGTTTTTGCAAGTGACTATAGCATAAATTTTTGTGAATGATGATTTTTTCCAGATACATGTCCCACTATTTAACCCATAACTGGAGGAAGGAGGTAGATTTCAAAAGGTATTTACACATCAGCAAATGCACCCCCCCACAAAAAAACAGCTGTAGTTTAAACTCAGCTCTCTGATGGTTCATTCTGAGTTACTATCCATTACACTACCTGCAGACCCACATTCTTTTAAGCAAGTTTTATTGAAAAGTATAAACATTCTCTGATTCTCTTAATGATTCATTTAGGTTTTTTAACTAAAAATTGAGAGAAAAAAATAATTTTCTTGCTTTATTTATTAAAGCAAAAATAGTTCTTACAATTAGATACTAATATTTTTCATATTTTGATATAAATAAGAGAAATATCTACATATTTTTATAATATAAATCTAGAGACTATTTAATTACCTAGCCTCCTTCAAACCTTTATTTGTCACTGGATTTCATTTACCAGTTTAAAAAGAAGCACTTAAGTTGTTCTTATTTTGTGAGTGTGCACACTCCATTTATTAAAAGTCTGCTATTATTAGTGAGAAGTAAGAATTTTTTTTAATTATTTGCTTCTAGAATAAATATAACAGAATTTTAATTAAAAATTTTGTATTGTTCCAGCATCATTCCAAAAAACGTAATAAGTCATCCCAAACTATACCAATAATTTGATATTAATTTTGAACCCTGCTATAGGCATATATTATCAATTGGAGACTAGGTATTTACACATAATCTCTAGATTTATATTATAAAAATGGACTAGGTAATTGCATAATACCTAGACCTGTTGAAAATGCCTAGGCAATTAAATAATCACCAGACCTGTCAAGAAGGGACTAGGCAATTAAATAATCACCAGACCTGTCAAGAAGGGATTAGGCAATTAAATAATCACCAGACCTGTCAAGAAGGGATTAGGCAATTAAATAATCACCAGACCTGTCAAGAAGGGATTAGGCAATTAAATAATCACCAGACCTGTCAAGAAGGGACTAGGTAATTAAATAATCCCCAGACCTGTCAAAAAGGGACTAGGTAATTAAATAATCCCCAGACCTGTCAAAAAGGGACTAGGTAATTAAATAATACTTAATCTTATAGTATCAACTATCAGTATAACCAGTCTTTGACTGGGTCTTTCATTACTGGGAATTTGTGCAGTTCAATTGGACCAGTTTAAGTTTAAAGTCAGCCCACCTGAAAATCAATATTAGTAACAACATTTGGGTAAAACTGACGCACATCCGCAAATGTGGGGGGGGGGTAACAATTTGAATGGGGTAGGTGGGCCTGAAAAGGGAAGTGTATAATAATAAATAATATTATTGTAATAATTTAAACTAATTATTTTTATTAGTTTTTATGAAAGATATATATCCAAGAACTTGCTGAAGTTGCTGAGAGTTATAATGGACAGGAAGTAGTGGTGAGCCATTGTTGCCAACAATTTAGACTCAAAACTGGCACTGAAGAATTATCTATCAAACAAAAAATTTCATCAAAATCGGATGAAAACTGAGGAAATGCATAAACATCCAATCACACAGAGAATTATAGATATATAAGATGAAAATCCAAGTAGTTGATTAAACTCCAGATGTATAGTATAAAACAAGATTTAGGTAATTAAGTATTCTGTAGATGTTAACTACCAGAGAATGCCTAGTTAAGTAATCTCTAGACATATTTTTTTCAAACATGGATAGAGTAAAAACACAACAGATCACTGAAATATTCAAAATCAATTTCAGGAAAATTCCCCTAAAGCTAGATGATTTAGCAAAACACATACTTACCTTATTTCATTATGTCACAAATGAAGACAACAAAAGTGCTTTTTTTTTCTTTTTTTTTTTTAAGAGAATTAATGGGAAATGTAAATTACTATTAAAACAATAACCTTACAGATAAATTAATACTAAACAACAAAAGGGTCAATGAAATGTCTTGCCTGAATTCTACCTGGGAAACTAAAGGAGTTCATACAAACACTATTGGTATATAAGACATAGTTAAGTGCATGCAAAGATGCCATTCATTCATCAGATGAGTAATCACTGAAAATATTGGGATTATTTACACATGGATTGGCACTTCTGCCTAGGATCAGTGTAATATCTGTGAATTTTGTGTCAAGTTTTTTCACACACTCACACAACACAAAAAAAATTTTTGTTCAAGCTAATAGATTAAATTTAATATTGCTAATAAGCAAAATATTTTGCTGTATTTCATACCGAATTTAAATAGATCATTTTTTTTTTTTTCATTCTCTGTAAAACTGACGAAATTGTCCATACTGACAAATCTGTCAACACAGAATTCTCTTTATTAAAATATCTTTAAAAAATAGAATATATTTTTCTGAAATATTGAGAAAAATTAGCTGATTTAATGTTTAATTAATATGAATTAAAACAAATATTAATTTTAGTTAAAAATATTGCAGATAATTTTTTAACATGGAGATGGTTTTTTTTTTTTTTTTTTTTTTAAATGTTGAATGATTTATTGATAGCCTAATGTTTGGAAAATTTAAGAAAGGGGGAGATAATGAAAATAAATTGTATGAAGAATACAACAAATGTCATTTTTATCTTGTTTTTTTTTTTTTTAAGTAATCTTAAAATTTTCAATATTTTAAGCATTCTAATATTTTATTGAATTTTTTTGCTTTATAATTTTACTTATGAAAATGCTTGTTGAGGAAATGTTGGAAAATTACCAATTTTAATTTTTGCTATTAGTTATCTATCTTATTTTCTGATGATGTCTGTATTTACAAAAACCAACACATTTATACACACAAAATAAATTCAAAATTCTTTTTAAATACTAGGAGTCATGGAATTGTAGTAAGCTTTTCCATTTAGTAAATACAGATTGTAATAACAATATCACTCACCTGCTACAAATTAATATACAATGTTTAAAGATTTAAAAGTTTATAAATTATTCTCATTAAAATTAAAAAAAAAAAAAAAAATTCTTGTTAATATTCATCAAAAAATTTTCTTCTTAAAACAATAGTGTCCATATTATATTTTATTAATGAATGAAATTAAAAGCTTTTCTAATTAAATAATGTCTTAGTTTTATTGCATTTTTTTTATTTTATGATTAAGACTTTGTGTAACTGGGGGGTCCTGTTTGACCAAGAATATTTGATGGGGACTTGTCCTTATAACTAATAAAAACATTAAGTGTTACAAAAAAAAAAAAAAAAGAAAGAATTTCTCAAAATTTCATAAAAATTAGATTGAGTGGGGATAACGGATGTAAAAAAAAAAAAAAAAAATTTTTTTTAACAAAGATTTTTTAAAAAAGAAATGTTTCTAAAATAATTTAATTTATTTCTGAATGAGGTCTAAAAGATTCATTAAAAGCTGACAATTATTTGATTTCTGCAAGAATTCTCAAAACAATGTTTTTCACTACAAAAAAATTATCAAATTTCTTGTACAAATTTATGGACCTGTCTTGATGCCAGAAAACCAAAATTTCTAAGATTCTAAAAAGGAAAATTTTTTTTTTTTAAGATAAAAAGTCCTTTGATTTTCATTTTATTATGGTTTCTGAATTTTTTTTTCTTCTTATGTATCCACTGTTTTGCACATTTTGGGCAGTACCTATATATGAAAGATAAGATAAAGAACAAATAGGAAATGTTTATCATTCTAACAGGTTTCACTTTTATTAAAGCTTCATCAGATAATGAGATATAGAGAAAAAGAAAGAAAATCTGGTATTTTTACTTTCCTGTTTGATTTTCATCATGTTTTGTGTTCATTCAGTTTTTTAAAATGTTTCCTATTTGTTCTTTATCATTCTGTCAGAATCTGTTCTATATTTGATGCCAACACACACACACACATATATATATATATATATATATATATATCTCATCAACTGCCTATCTGTTCATTTCTTCACAACAACATAATTGGCAACCATAAGATGAGGAAAAATAGAGAGTAAATAAAAAAAGTTAATAGAAAGAAAAAAAGACCAAGTGAAAAGAAAGCGAGAAGGAAAAATAAGTTTGAGTTTTTACTTCTTTACCACTTTGATCATTTCAAGTAGCTGAGGTTGATTTTTATTATTTTCTTGTCACACATGATGCAGACCTTGAGTAGAAAGTAGGTAAATGCAACAGTATGTGTGTGTGTATTTCTTAAAGAAATTGAAAATAAGTTGTTACAAATTATATTAAGTTAAATAGATACTGCAATAACTTGTGTTGAAGAGATCTCTAGAAATAATAGCATAGCTTATTTTTTATCATTCACCACAAACAAAGGCAATAAAACCACTAAAATGCAAGGAATTACTGAGTGTGAGAGAATAGGAGAAAAAGTACATGATATTAAGGAAAGAATGGTAATTATTG